ACATTAAGGTATTAAGAAAATACATATGAGAAACGCAGTCTATAAAAAACATACAATATAAAAGACACATGAATATGTTTTAAAAGTGTAAAACAGAATAGAATATTAAAATAAGATTAAATAGAATAAGACACATATAGCAGACTGATGAAATACGATCCAGTTGGGAAAAGAAAATGTTTTGAGTCCTGATTAAAATGAACTGAGAATTGTAGCAGACCTGAACTTTTCTGGGAGTTTGTCCCATATACATGGTGCATAAAAACTGAATGCTGCTTCTCTATGTTTAGCTTTGACTCTGGAAACAGTAACAGACGTGTCCCAGACGATCTTTCATAACAGGAGATAAGAAATGTACTTTGGGCCTAAACCTAAGGGATAGATTAAAGCAATGCTCACATACCCATGCTGTGTGTACATTGAAATAGCTCGTCTATTCACAGTGACTGAAGAGATCCTTTCTTATTGCAATTCCAGTATATGAGATGGGGAAAGTAATACAAGGCTTCATATGCATTCAGATCGACACCAGCCCCGTCTGGAGAAAACGCCGCCCTTTCATTCAGGGTCGTGCTGTGATGTGACAATTCAGTGCATGCAGAGTTGTTACATAATTTGTCTTGACAGAGCCCTTTCAAGAAGTAGAACAAGATATTTCACCAATACAGCTGCCACATTTTTCAAGGAGACGTTTATACAGGAGGTTACTATGGTTACTGCTTTATGGGGGCATGCTTTAACTACTCTGTTCCTGATGCTTGTAGCCCTTGACCCAGTTTGAGAACAAAATCAAGGACCTGATGAAAGAGAAGTTTCTAAGGGAGGAGAGGAATTATAAGACCGGATACACGTATTCCTGGTCCAGATAAACCTCAATGTGAATCTGAATAACGACATCAGTAGGCATAAGAATAAACCTGATATACTGCTGCAAGTCACAACTAAAATTTTCCATCTTTAAAATCATTGAACAGCAGACTTCCAACTAACTACAACACAACACAATACACATGAAGAAAATCAGGTAAAAAAACAAGTAACAACCAACTGCTGACCCGTTGGGGCCCACTTCACAAAAGTGGTTTGCGAGTATTGCTGTGGTGACAGTGTCCTACTTAACAAATGATTGTCACTTACAAGTTGCAAATTATGTCAAAGTTCTCCAGGACTCTCGCATGTTTCTTTTGATTAATGAAACATGTCAAAATTAACCCAAAAACGAATGATCTCATGTTGCAAATAGCTACTTGCATGTTGCAAGTTTTTGTAAAACAGGTCCCAGTCCTCATTTTCAGGGAAGAAAAGGTCTGTAGTCAACCTCCTCAGCCATTTCTATTAGATAGATCAAGAAGCCGAATCTGTTCTGTCCCTTCCTGTAAACAGCCTCTGTGATTTCAACGTATCTGTATCCCTCCTCCACCTCCACCTCCACTTTCTTTTGTAGAACGATGTTTAACTTCCAGTCCTCCTAAAATCCACAAATGCCACTCTACACCACGTAGCAGTCCACCAGGTCTCTGTGCTCTGCATCCTATCCACCACTGACACACCCAGTGGAGTCATCTGAGAACCTCTGCAGATGACAGGACTCAGAGTTGTGCTGACAATCAGAGGTGTACAGGGTGAATCGGATAGGTGAGAGGTGGTCCCTTGCGGTGCTCGTGTGCTGCTAAACAACTGTTCAGACACGCATCCCAGCAGCTGCACAAACTGTGGCCTCTCTGTGTGTCGGGTAGTCAGTAATCCCGGAGGTTGTGAAGACTTCTACCTGCATCTTCTGGAGGTTCTCTCTCAGCAGGACGGGCTGGATTGCGTGAAAGGGCACTGGAGAAATCAAAGAACATGATTCTCACAGTGCCGCCGAGGCAGGTAAATGACGCTGTTGTCGACTTCAACCTGAGGGCGACAGGAAAACTGCAGGAAGCCCAGAGAGGTGTCACCTGAAGGCTGTCACAGGCCAAAACCAGTCAATCCAGGACTTTCAGCGACTGGTCTGTAGACATTGAGGGCAGATGGAGATGACTTCTTGGGCGCTCTTTACTTTTCCTTCATATTAGCACCCACAGTGAGCTAACATGCTAAACGTGTTACTGTGGAGCTGTTGGTTTGTTTGTTATTTTAACCAAATTTTTTTTACCAAATTTTAAAACAAAAATACCAAATATCAAAATAATATCAAAAAAAGCCTGTGATCAAATGTCATCAGCTAGATTGCATATTAATACCAATAAATTGGGTCTTACTGTCCATCACTGACTGACTCTTTATTTCTGAGTGCAGAGATTAGGCTTGCCATGATGTGGATAAAATACATGAAATTGTGTGGATATACTCTGTCCAGTGTCGGGATGGAAATGAGTAATTTGTTTAACTATTTCTGTGAGATGATCGTCAGTAAAGTTATTTGTAGTTTCTGTTGTTGCCATGGAGAGAGAAATGGTCCCTACTGTTTTAATTTTTTTCCACCACGCAGACGTATTAGCAGAGAAGAGAAGAGAAGAGAAGAGAAGAGAAGAGAAGAGAGGCAAATTCTAACTATAGATATGAGAACTGAACTACAGTTTGCGGTTGTCGGTTTGTCAGTAAAAGCAAAGCAACACTATTTACATGGCAAGTTTCATTCCAAGGGAAATATGGTGTGCTAGGAAATAAATGTACACAACAAATAAAAACAACAAAAAAAAGTAATTATATGTGAGGGAAAAAATAAAGTTTTTACTCTGTGTTCTCTGTATGTTGTGCTAAATTATAATTCAGACATTACAAAATCCTGTAAAGTCCTATTTGAATTCAGATGAGACTTTTATTTTGAAGTGTACAGAATAAAACGTATTTTTCCTGTGCTTCCTAAAAGGCTGCTACTTAGTTTTTAGGGGAATAAATATGTTTCCATGTACAACTTCTATACTTTTCTAAAAACCGGGATGTTCCTTGTTTTAACAGAAAGTTTAGTCATTGTTTTATTTTATGAACTTGCACTTTGTAGCTTTATGTCCTCTTTTTTATTCCCTTTGTTTCTGTCTTTTTCTCTAGGAAGAGGAACACAGAGAGAATTTATGCAACTGCAGTCCTGTCAATGTTTCTCTAAAGTTATAATTGTATTGTTCAATAAAGTGTTGCACAAGTAGCAGACTTCCTCTCGCCCATTATACAACACAATGCACAAAGGGTTAGACCTGCTGCACGTGAACCATAAAAACCAAAAGCAGTTTTACAATGAAATGAACCAGCGTTTGGCTTTTCATTGATTAAAACCATGTAATTTAACATAAAAGCCACAGAGGTGCTTTCACACTTAATGTGCAGTATTTAATTGTAGAATATGTCCCTATGTTGTACTCAGCCATCCCCAGTTCATTCATTTAGGTAAATTAAACAGTTTCAAGTGTGCAGCGTCTTACTACTGTATCTAGCATGTTATTGTTGGACTCCACATTTCAGCTGCCACACAGGTACATTTTAAATTAATATGAGCTCTATGGGGTACATGTGTGGTTGTATAAATTAAATTATTAAGAAAAAAAGTCCAGAAAGATATTAAAGTGTTCAATGGGTAAATCTTTTAGCATTGGACATGTATAAAGAATAAAGGATTGGACTGGCTGCACATCATCAGATCATATTTGTCCAGGACAGACAGGAATAAATAATTTGATTGATTTTTAATAATGCTTTTCCACTAAAGCAGGCTTTGGCCCTCACTCCTGAATTAAGACGCCATTAAGTGAACATCAGTTCAGTTCAGATTTAACTTAATTTGAGTGTGATGGAGAGCATCCAGAAGTTGGGTTACCATGGTTACCTGCATCTGGAGGTGGCCTAGTTATCCCGGTGACTCATGTACAGCAGGACTTCAGTCCTTCAAACGACCCCCTCTTCCTCCTCCTCCTCCTCCTCCTCCTCCTCCTCCTCCTCCTGCTTCCTACCGCACCTTAACCTTAAGAGCAGACACTCCTCCTCTGGCACAGATGCACACACAGCTCTGGCCAGATGTAGCGATCTACCGCGACACTCAAACAGAGCTGTTACATCATTTTAACACTGTTCGAGGCAAATACTCTTAAAAACCTGATCATATATCTGCTGATTTTTGTTTTTGCCCATCCTGTAGTGCAGTATTGCTCAAGGCAATGTCCATTGTTCAGCTGTTGACTGAAATAGCTTGACAATTATTGTATGGATTGCCATGAAATTTTGTACGGATACAGTACAGATTGTAGATTGTGTGTGTGTGCATTGTGTGATTGTAGTGTGTGTGTGTGTGTGTGTGTGTGTGTGTGTGTGTGTGTGTGTGTGTGTCTATACAGCATCTGCTCCTTCTAACTGTTCTTATTTATACTGAATCATATTGTTTGCCCTCCTTCTGTAACTCTACCCTATGTCTGTCCTGCTTTTGACCATTTTTGATTCATTTGCCAAAGCACTTTGTAAACCCTGTTTTTAAAAGGTACTATATAAATAAAGTTATTATCACTATTATTATCATATTATAGATATCCATGGTCTCCTGAAGATAAAGCACACTGGCTCTGGGGATCCTCAGAGTTTTAATTGAGTACCACCAGAGGGTCAAAGGTCATGGTTTCCAGATGATGTATCCTAATGACTTTGCTTCACATTTGCAGTTTTGAGGGAAATGTGTTTACAAGTACTTGATGGATTGCCATGAAATTTGTCATATACATTCAACTCTCTCTCAGGATGAATTGTAATAACGTTGGTGACCCCTGACTTTTCATCTAGCGCCATCATCAGGTCAAAATCGAATCTATATATTTTGGTTTACGGTATACAGTATATGGTTTGGTAATTGTATACCTTTGTGTTTATATAAGAATAGCAAAACCATGAGTTTGGTGTTTCTTTCATTCAGCATATTGATATTGTGGACTTACAGTCTATCTATGCATAGACGACACTGTTGATCTCCACAGCAGATTATTGTAACACGATTTTCATTTCTGACCCATTCATAACAGTGTCGTCTCTCCTCACCACAGTAACTGCCCGTGCTCCCTGGCTGCAGCCCTGGCCAGAGCCACAGCAGACAGCGTTGTGAAGGCTGACCTCTCCATCCACCACCTGATTAAGGCCGTAGAAGATGGAGCTGACCCACTACCACGTGAGTTCTCAGGGTGGGCCTGTGAGACTGCACCCTCTCTCTCTCAAACACACTCACTCAAACATACACACACACACAGAGGTACAGAGAAATTAGGTCTCGCTCTCACTTCATCCCATACACATGCACGCATGCACACACACACACACGCGCGCGCGCACACACACGCACACACACACACACACACACACACACTCACACACACACACTCACACACACACACTCACACACACACACTCACACACACACACTCACACACACACACTCACACACACACACTCACACACACACACACACACACACACACTCACTCACACACACTCACACACACTCACAGGCATGTAACCACCAGGGCTTTGTCCCAGTTCTCCCCCGCAAATCTGCATTAAGTGGTATTTGACCGCTAGAGGGCAGAAAGCATACTCACAGCTATAAACCAGGATATACTACATCCACCATGCGCCAATAGAGTTTCATTAAAATGGCCTTCAGGCTTTGTCTAAACATACTTGAATCACAGTGGTAGTATAATATCAGAATCAGCAATGCTTTCTTAATGTGTATATTACAAACACATCAACTATACTAAATATTAAATGGATATAGACAGAAGAATTAGATAATGTTGAATTGGCAGAAGTTATTACAGAAAATACAACATTCAAGGATATAGAAATTTATTCAGCAGTCATCTTTTAAAGCTGCACTAATCTGTATTTTTATATTAATAGTTGATCAAAGGATTACGTGTAATCTGAAAGCGGTCACTCATAGTGATGAACTGTTGTTTATTCTAACTCTCACATGCTGGAAATACCCACAAGAGCACCAAATGTGTATTAATTCACTGCTGAAAATAGTGCCCAACAAATTTTCAATTTCCTCCTGTTTGAGTTACATTTGCCAAAAATTACAGTTGCCTGATGTGTTTCTTTTTTTTTTTTACAAATGAATTTGGCACCCGTCTTTAAAGATTTATGTCTTCAGTTGTAATCAGTGGGTTTTGGGCTGAGTGTCACAGACAGGGAAAGGAAGTCAGGAAGTATTGACAGGCTAATTTATGGTTGACTTTGGTCTTTTCATGGGATTTGTAACAGTAACAAAAATATAGAATAGTGCCAGTCTTATCCTGTAGGATCAGTCAAATTCAGGGGATGTAACTTTCCACAGAGAAATATAAATTATAACTTAACCCTCTGGAGTATAGGTTGTTTTTGCTGACTTTCTGTGTAGTGGTTTTTGTCATCATTTAGCAGCTTTTAAACTGTCCTCACCTCACATGCATGGTGTCCTTTGTCTGACTGTCAATTTAACTAAGCTGCCAGCAACCCAAATGTGTCACTGTTCAGTGATAATCACTCTAAATATTATTATAGAACAGTTCAAGGTCGTAAAAAATATTGTTTCACTATTCGTACACACAAATACAGCAGAAAAATGTGAGAAATAAAACTGTAATACAGTCTATTTATATGTAACATGATTTTATCCCAACTCGTTTTTGTGGCTTTTTCATTGAAAATTAGAGTATGGCTATTAATTAGTGAAGATTTTAATTTTTTTAACATAGTTTTAAAACATCACAAAATGTGTTATAGTCTACAGATATAAATTATACATTGTGCATGCAGAGTTTTCATCTGGTTCACTGAGCTTGTCTCCACATGATATATAAATTAAGGTATGTCACTGTAGATAGAATATGTATATGTATGTATGTATGTATATATAATAGACTTCAGAGGGTTAACTGACACTTAGACATCATCAGTAGCTGAAAATGTAACTGAAAACTGTTTAAATCTTTGCTGTTTTTCAAATGTTGTATTAAAATTAAATCACTCAACTCTTGAATGATTTAATTTTTTTAACTTCAGCTCGTTAGCAGTACACCGTGTTTTATTTACCATTTCACTAAGATTTTCAACTGGTTGTGTGACGTGTTTTAATTTTGATCGACTTGCATTGAAGCTCAAACTGTTCCACACTGTGTGCCATCTCAAAGTAAGAACTTCTCATGTTGTGTAACAGCCGATCACATCTTGTTTCATGATGCCTCACTGCACTCTGCTGTTTTTTTTTTCTTTCCTTCAGCTGTTTGCAAGGTGTTATGGGTAGACCTTGATGTCAGATGACGTGCTAAAATATCTCCATTGGGAGCATGAGTGGGGAGGGGCTGAACAGCCAGTTCACATGGTGAAGTTCAGTTTTGGGACAGTGCTTGACGTGTATGTACTTTTAGAAGGAGGAGGGGTGAGAATGAGGGGAGGAAATGGGACACTATAGCTCTGTGTGTTTCTCACAGCAGCAGAGTGAGAGACAAGTCAATGGCAAAGACAGGATAGACTATTTTACCTGCAGCAATCATTAGTAGGTCAAGCCCATGCACTCACAGTCTGTGTCTTGGTTATAACCGAGAGCTGCCGCCTTGATGGCACCTCTGGGCTCAGCTCTGTTCCACTCACTTCTGTAACCCAGTGCAATATCTCAATGAAGGTTTCTTTCATCTGCCTTTCTGAAAAAGTATAACACATCCTTGGGGCTTTTACTATCCACAACGGCATAATTTCCACTGGGCATGGGGACTTTTCACAGTTCGATTTTTGACACAGCAGAAAAATTAAACCGAGACTTTTACAGTTTTAGTTGGCACATTTATCTGAGTTGCCTTAAAATTCTTACAGCACTCACAGTGTCCAAGTGAAATTAAATAGCTTTTTTTGTCTGCTACATATATTGGCCTGTGTTTTCTCTTGAGAAAAAATTTGAAACCAAAAGTGAGAAATTTATAATTTATACTATACTTAAATGTGGTTTGTGCATTAACTTTGATGGAATACTTTTCTGGCATCTATCTCCGAAGATGGAAATGTTGTTTCAAAACAGCTGATCAAATCTTGCATAAAGCAGTAACGTCAGCGTCGTATCATAGGCAGAGCAGATGGCCACAGACTCTGAACAACAACCGAGCGAGATTATACTGCAAGAAGTTTTGATGTGTTTTCTCTCTCTCTGTCTCTCTCTCGCTCTGTCTCTCGCTCGCTCTCTTTGCCATTACTCTGGGTCACCAATGACATTCATTGTAACTGCTCTGAATCCAAACAGACCACCCTTAAACCTTAAGAAAGCAGCAAGTTACAAAGTTTTCAGAGCCACCTTTGAAGCCTGCACAGGGGGTGTTTGATGTTCAAAAGATAGATTATGGTGGAGTGTTATTTTAAACTCATAAACTCTCAAAACCTGAACTCTGAAGCTGGCTCTTGCTGGCAGGGAAGAGTATGTGCCCTCTACTGCTCAGTCCCCACTGGAAACTACACTGAATAGCAACGTAAGCAAACCAATATAAGTGACTGACACAATATGACCTAGTTAGCATATGTTCAATAAAGAAGCACATCTGATTCTTTGTGTGTTTTTGTGTTAGAGATGGAGTCTGTGAAGCTGGCCCGGGTGGTGTTTAACAGACTGTTTGAGATGTGCTGCCTCTGGCTGAAGGAGTTTCCCTTCCGCCGCCGCCCACAGCCATACTATGAAACTTCCATCCACGCCATCAAGAACATGAGGCGTAAGATGGAGGATAAGCATGTCATCATCCCAGACTTCAACACACTCTTCAATGTTCAGGTAGACTTCAACAACTCCCCCACGTCCCATGCAAAAGCAGATCATTATCAGACCTCGGTGAGACCAGACCACCACAGTGGCGACTGATGCTTTCAATCTGTCTTCCCAACATGGTGGCTGGTCTCCTGATGGTTTCTCAGATTCTGATATTTTTCAGGTAGTGTTGTGGTAACTATAACAATAACATTAACAATTGGAAAGAAAGCGAAAAGGTTTCCGTGCTTAGTGCTAATAGCTCTGTTCCACTAGCTCCTGTCACTCCTGTAAAGTTTCATCTGTCTTTGTAAAAAATGAAATGTATTCTTGGGATTTGCTGTCCATAATCTAAAAGCTCAATTCATTACAGCAGTTGCTATAAGAAACTGTAAGGTTTTAAAGTTAAACAAAAACTAGAGCTCCCATGAAGATTTACCAGCACAATTACGAGTACTTGCATCATTGTAACTTGGTTTCGTCCATATCCATAAAACTCACTATCACCCTCTTCTAAACGAGATTTCTCAAGTTCTTTCTAATCATCTTAAAGTCTTGCATATGATAAACAAGGAAATTCTTAAGCTCCCCTACTAAAGTAGCCTTTCTGTTCAGTTCTGACTTGGTTATTTTAAGTGAACTAATTTGACAGAAATTCATCCAAGTGATTGCTACAACCAATGTTGGTCCATGTGTCCCGACCCCAGTGTACCTACCTGCAGGTCTAGTAATATTTATATTTGTATGAGACGTATTATGTCTTATTATATTATATTATATTGAAACATAAATCTTATCGTACATCGATAAAACTGGTTAGTGGGGTGTTTTTGTCAGTCAATCTCCAATTGTCAGGATATCAATGCATTAAAGTCACCATTGTACAATCAGCAGCTATTATGCTACTTTCAATGCAAGGAGCTGTTAAATTTACTGTGTCCTCTTCACCGTGTCCACTAACTGATATGTATTGTCTCTCAGGATCAGGAAGAACAGGCTTTCTTTGCCGTGTTTGATGGTCATGGCGGTGTTGACGCTGCCATTTATGCTGCCAATCACCTCCACGTCAACTTAGTTCGTCAGGAATCTTTCAGCCAGGACCCCGGCGAGGCACTCTGCAGGGCCTTCAAACTCACCGACGAACGCTTTGTGAAGAAGGCCTCACGAGAGGTAACCACATGTGCAAAGAGCCAAAGCCTTTAATATTATTAAGAAATATAGTACCAGTGTAAACCTGTTGATGACGCAAAGTAATAATCTGTCATGGTAACTGAATTGTATTTGTTTACTAATGTAAACTAATACTATTAGTACTACTTATATTACTCTTCTATCTCTCCTACTGTTGATGTTATCACTACTAGTAGCCCTCTACTACTACTACTACTACTACTACATGTACTACCACATCAATCCATCCATTTTCTGCTGCTTATCTGGAGTTAGATCATGGTGGCAGCAGGTTAAGCAAAGTAATCCAGACATTGCCAGTAACATTTTCCAGCCTGAGAGATCACAAGGTGTTCCCAGGAAAGATGAGCTACATAATCTATCCAGCGTGTTGTGGGTATACCGTGAGTCCTTCTACCAGTTGGATGTGCCTGTCTGAGCTCCTTAGCCTGTCTCTAAGGATGAGTCTAACCACCTGACAGAGGAAACTCATTTCTTTTGGACACTACCTAAAGCTCATGACCACAGGTGAAGGTTGGAACATAGACTGACTGGTAAATCAAAAGCTATGCCTTCTGGCTGAGCTCCCTCTTCACCAAAACAGTCCAGTACAATGTATGCGTTACTGCTGACACTGCACCAGTCCACCTGTCAATCTCGTGCTCCATTTTAACCCTCAATCATGAGCAACACCCTGAGATCTTAAACTCCTTGGGGCAGCAACTCGCTCCTAACCCGAAGGGAGCAATTCACAGTTTTCTGGCAGAGAACCATGGCCTCAGACTTGGAAGTGCTGACTCTCATCCCAGCTGCTTCACACTCAGCTACAAACAACCCCAAATGCCTGCCAGAGGTCACGGCCTGATGAAGCCAAAAGAACCACGTTGTTTGCAAAAAGCAGCAAGGCCATTCTGAGGTCCCCAAACCGGACACTTTCCTCCCCCTGACTTTGCCTTGAAATCCTTTCTGTGAAAACCTCAGATAAGATAGGTGACAAGGGAAAACCCTAGTGGAGGCCAACACCAACTGGAAACATGTTCAACTTCTTGCTGAGAATACGGATACAGCTCTTATTTCTGTGATATAAAGGCTGAACATCTCAGGAACTACCACCCTGGTCTGCCAGTCCAAAGCTACTGTCCCTGACCTGCATGCGACATTGAAGAAGCGTGTCAGCTAACATAGGCCATCAATGTTCAGCGCCTTCAGCATAGAGGACATGTTAGTTGGCTTCAAGGGTTCAGCAGTTTCTTCTCCCCTGCTGCTGAACACATTTTGGCCACTGCATTCCCTTCTTAACTCATTTGATGGTTTGCCAGAATGTTCGTGAGGCCAACTAAAAACTCCTGCTTCATTGTTCCCCCAAACTCCCACACCCAGGTTTTTGTGTCTGCGACCATCATGTCCATAGCCCTTCTGGCCTGCTGGTACCCATCTGTGGCTTAAGGAGACCTCTGTGCCAACCAAGCCTGAAGGACCTCCTCCCTCAGCCTGATGGCCTCCCTCCCCCATGGTTCTCAGGTTGCTGCACGACACACGCCATCAATGTTCTGACCCAGCTCCCAGTAGCTGGCTTTGAACATGGCCCACTCAGATTCCATGTCCCTCACTTAACCTGGGATGCATGAGACGTTCTTCTGGAGGTGAAGGTTAAAGACCTTGCAGACTGGGGCCTCAGCCAGGTCCCAGTTCACCCTCACTACACATTTGGGTCTGTTAGGTCTTTCTGGCAGTCTCCTGCGCCAATTAATCCAACTCACTACCAGGTGGTGATCAGTTGATAGCTCTGTTCCTCTCCACTGAGACTTCAAGACCTGAAGATAAGAGCACAAAGTTAGGGCGAAGGTGTTCTGATATCAACTATAGTTATGAACGACCCTATGCTCAAACATGGTGTTTGTGATGGCCAATCCATGACAGAAGTCGGGTTCACATTGGGCAGGCCGTTCCTCCCAATCCAGTTTCTCTACCATCCAGGTGCTCACACATTTACAGCCCATTTCTACATTATTAAGGATTAAGATGCAGATTGAATGACTAGAATATATCTTTAACTAGTGGTGATACATTTTTTGCTTGAATTTTAGTAAGTTGATTACTTGGATCCAGTAAAACAGGGACACCATTCCTGTATGAAGTAGTGCAGCTGTTGCTTGCTGTGAGCTGGATACTGTAACATGCGCCTGTTTTTGGCAGAACCTGCGTTGTGGCACAACAGGTGTGGTGACGTTCCTGCGGGGCCAGACGCTGTATGTGGCCTGGCTGGGAGACTCCCAGGTCATCCTGGTCAGGAGAGGACAGGTTGTGGAGCTGATGAAACCACATAAACCAGACAGAGAGGTAACCATTTACACATGCACAGACATCTTCACACATCTTCACACACCATCAGGCTCAAATCTATAATTTCCACTGTAAGCATACTTGATTAAGATGAAGAGCCATAAATTTAAGTGATGAATCTTAGTGGATTGATAGATTTTGAGACATTATACAGAATACTGTCATTCATTTTCAGATTCATACAACTTACATTTATTTGCCTTTTCTATAAATTAAAATGCAGACTTGTATTTGTGATATACATGGATTTAATTATCAAAAGCTTGTATTCACAAACTTCTAGTGTTACTGAATTATAGAATCAGATTTTTTACATGCAGCTGTCGTTTCAGGATTCCATTCAGAGAAAAGTGAACTTAAGAGTAAACCTGCCTGTTTGCTGACAATGAGCATTAGTGGTGTACTTAACATTTACTTACATGACCTTTTTTTTTTATAATATCCAATTAAAATGATTTGATGGTCTAACATTTTTGGGAATATACTTTTTTACCACTTTTTGCCCCGAAAATCAGATGAAAGGACTGATATCATACTCATCTGTCTTGTTTGATATGAAACTATAGCCAGCAGCCAGTTGGCTTAACTTAGCACAAAACGGGAAACAAAAGAAAACAGCTAGCCTGACATGAGGGTGGTATCTGTATCAAGGGCATAGGTTTGGCCTCAAAATTGGTAGAGATGCAGCACCCCCACCATCCCGCCAAAAATAAAAAGATTAACTTTTTAATGCTGTCAACCAAACAGTTTATTTAAATATAAGATCGGAATTTACATTCAGGAATGCCTATACGCAAATGTAATATATGTACATGTGTGGAATTTCCATGTATGAAATATATGTACATATGAGGTAAAATCATATATGTATTTAAAATAGCCTATATTGGTAAAAGTTACATATGAAACCTGTTAGTAATTGAAACAATATCATATATTGATATATATGTAAAATCTAGTTAATATAAACATGTATTTTAGTATATCTGTTCATAGAGAGAGATATGTTAAATACATATATATCCATCCCAAAGCCTGTCAGTATATGTTCATATTATATATGTCAATATAAAAGATAGACATGTATTTTTAAATTTGATTAGAAATTATTAAGAAAATCATATAGAAAACATATAGAATTTGTATAAGTAAGTTGTTTTAAGAAAGTTGCATTTTACATGAGTATTTTATGTATGTTATGAACTTATATCTTCATATATCCAGAGTATGTATATGTGTCATAATAATATATCCTCTTATAGGTTACGCATATGGTAACATCACTCTTGATATAGGTACATGTATGTCATATGTATGTCATAAGTCATAGTATATTAAGGCATAAAAAGCCTCAGTATAGTAAGGCGTAAAAAAGTCATAGTATAGTAAGGCATTAGAGCCAATTAACATAATGTGCATGTCTTTGGACTGTGGGAAGAAGCCAGAATACCTGGAAAGAACCCACAAAGCCACAGGGAGAACATGTAAATTCGACACAGACTGGAAAGTGAGGTATGAAAACATCAAAGTATAGTAAGGCATAAAAACGTCAAAATACATCATATTCTAATAAGGCATATAAACGTCAAAATACGTCATATTCTAATAAGGCATAAAAACATCAAATATTGTCATAGGATAGTAAGGCATAAAATGTCTTAGTATAGTAAATCATAAAAACATCATAGTATAGCAAGGCATAAAAAAGTCGGAAAATCTCATAGTATATTAAGGCATAAAAACGTTAAAAAAACGTCATAGTATAGTAAGGCATAAAAACGTTAAAAAATGGCATATTATAGTAAGGCATAAAAATGTCAAAAAACATCATGATATAGTAAGACATAAAAACGTCATAGTATAGTAAGGCATAAAAACGTCAAAAAACATCATAGTATAGTGAGGCATAAAAACATCATAGTATAGCAATGTATAAAAACGTTAAGAAACGTCATAGTATAGTAAAGCATAAAAACGTCATAGTATAGCAAGGCATAAAAACTGCAAAAAACGTCATAGTATAGTAAGGTATAAAAACATCATACTATAGCAAGTTATAAAAACATTAAGAAACGTCATAGTATAGCAAGGTATAAAAACATTAAAGGGGCGTCGAGTAGCAGTTGGTTGAGCATCCGCCCCATGTGCAGAGGCTACAGTCCTCCCTGCAGTTGGCCCCGGTTCGAGTCCTGCATCGGACAGCCCTTAGCTGCATGTCATTCCCCCTCTCTCTGCCGCCGTTAAAAAACGTCATAGTATAGTAAGGCATAAAAATGTCATAGTATAGCAAAGCATAAAAACATCAAAAAACGTCATAGTATAGCAAGGCATAAAAACGTTAAACAACGTCTTAGTATAGTAAGGCATATAAACGTCATAGTATAGCAAGGTATAAAAACGTCATAGTATAGCAAGGCATGAAAACGTTAAAAAAAAGTCATAGTATAGTAAGGCATAAAAACGTTGAAAAAACTTCAAAGTATAGTAAAGCATAAAACATCTTAGTATAGTAAGTCATAAAAACGTCTTAGTATAGGAAGGCATAAAAACGTCAAAAAACATCATAGTATAGTAAGGCATAAAAACATCATAGTATAGCAAGGTATAAAAACGTTAATAAACGTCATAGTATAGTAAGGCATAAAAACGTCATAGTATAGCAAGGCATAAAAACGTTAAAAACGTCATAGTATAGCAAGGCATAAAAACGTTAAAAAACGTCATTGTATAGTAAGGCATAAAACGTAAAAAAAATGTCATAGTATAGTAAGACATAAAAATGTTGAGAAACGTCATAGTATAGTAAGGTATAAACATCATAGTATAGCAAGGCATAAAAACGTCATAGTATAGTAAGGCATAAAAATATCATAGTATAGCAAGGCATAAAAACATTAAGAAACGTCATAGTATAGCAAGGCATAAAAACGTCAAAAAACATCATAGTATAGTAAGGCATAAAGATGTCATAATATAGTAAGGCATAAAAACGTTAAAAAACATCATAGTATAGTGAGGCATAAAAACATCAAAAAACGTCATAGTATAGTAAAGCATTAAAACGTTAAAAAATGTCATAGTATAGTAAGGCATGAAAATGTCAAAAAACGTCATTGTATAGTAAGGCATAAAAACGTCATAATATAGTAAGGCATAAAAACGTTAAAAAATGGAATATTATAGTAAGGCATAAAAATGTCAAAAAACATCATGATATAGTAAGACATAAAAACGTCATAGTATAGTAAGGCATAAAAATGTCAAAAAACATCATAATATAGTAAGGCATAAAAACGTCAAAAAATGGCATATTATAGTAAGGCATAAAAATGTCAAAAAACATCATGATATAGTAAGACATAAAAACGTCATAGTATAGTAAGGCATAAAAACGTCAAAAAACATCATAGTATAGTGAGGCATAAAAACATCATAGTATAGCAATGTATAAAAACGTTAAGAAACGTCATAGTATAGTAAAGCATAAAAACGTCATAGTATAGCAAGGCATAAAAACTGCAAAAAACGTCATAGTATAGTAAGGTATAAAAACATCATACTATAGCAAGGTATAAAAACATTAAGAAACGTCATAGTATAGCAAGGCATAAAAACGTCAAAAAACGTCATAGTATAGTAAGGCATAAAAAAGTTAAAAACGTCATAGTATAGCAAGGTATAAACGTCATAGTATAGCAAGGTATAAAAACATTAAAAGACGTCTTATTATAGTAAGTCATAAAAACGTCATAGTATAGCAAGGTATAAAAACGTTAATAAACGTCATAGTATAGTAAGGCATAAAAACGTCGATAAACGTCATTGTATAGTAAGGCATAAAAACGTCATAATATAGTAAGGCATAAAAAAACGTCATATTATAGTAAGGCATAAAAATGTCATAAAACGTCAAAGTATAGTAAGGCATAAAAATGTCATAATATAGTAAGGCATAAAAACGTTAAAAAATGGAATATTATAGTAAGGCATAAAAATGTCAAAAAACATCATGATATAGTAAGACATAAAAACGTCATAGTATAGTAAGGCATAAAAATGTCAAAAAACATCATGATATAGTAAGACATAAAAACGTCATAGTATAGTAAGGCATAAAAACATCATAGTATAGCAATGTATAAAAACGTTAAGAAACGTCATAGTATAGTAAAGCATAAAAACGTCATAGTATAGCAAGGCATAAAAACTGCAAAAAACGTCATAGTATAGTAAGGTATAAAAACATCATACTATAGCAAGGTATAAAAACATTAAGAAACGTCATAGTATAGCAAGGCATAAAAACGTCAAAAAACGTCATAGTATAGTAAGGCATAAAAAAGTTAAAAACGTCATAGTATAGCAAGGTATAAACGTCATAGTATAGCAAGGTATAAAAACATTAAAAGACGTCTTATTATAGTAAGTCATAAAAACGTCATAGTATAGCAAGGTATAAAAACGTTAATAAACGTCATAGTATAGTAAGGCATAAAAATGTCATAAAACGTCAAAGTATAGTAAGGCATAAAAATGTCATAATATAGTAAGGCATAAAAACGTTAAAAAAAATGTCATAGTATTGTAAGGTATAAACGTCATAGTATAGTAAGGCATAAAAACATCATAGTATAGCAAGGTATAAAAACATTAAGAAACGTCATAGTATAGCAAGGCATAAAAACGTCAAAAAACATCATAGTATAGTAAGGCATAAAAAAGTTAAAAACGTCATAGTATAGTAAGGTATAAACGTCATACTATAGCAAGGCATAAAAACATTAAGAAACGTCATAGTATAGCAAGGCATAAAAATGTCAAAAAACGTCAAAGTATAGTAAGGCATAAAAATGTCATAATATAGTAAGGCATAAAAACGTAAAAAAAAAATGTCATAGTATTGTAAGGTAAATATTATAGTAAGTCATAAAAACGTCGTAGTATAGCAAGGTATAAAAACGTTAAAAAACGTCATAGTATAGTAAGGCATAAAAACA